TTTATCTAAGATGCTAACAGGATCCCAGTTGAAACTGCGTTGGGTCATAATTTCTGGGAAGGGACAGCTAGCTCTTTCCAGAGCCCTGAATGAATAACTTGCAAAGGGTTTTGGAACTAAGGGAAGAGTTGCACAAGATTAAGCAAGGACCATCTGGAGCTCTAAGAATGAAGATTGCCCTCCCATGCTATATGTTAACCATGTTACTGTCTCTCTGTGGACTCATCATCTTCCTGCTCTTTGTTTTCTGCCTTTGCCTTCCTTCACATTTCCTTCTATACATGGAAGGTGGCATGGCTTTTATGAGATGAGGAGGCAGAACTAGTGCTTTCCAGATCATCTCCTTGTTATCCGCAAACAGGATGGAGGAGCTAGAAAGGTTTTCTCATGTTAGAAAGCTTCCTGAATATTAAGAATTAAATTAAATTAAAAATTTTGTAATGAATTGCCCAAAGTACCTTGATGTTCCAAGCTGTTGGTGCTTTTAAGTTTCACATAAAGAATGAGGGTCCATTAAAGCTTCTTTATCCAGTTGGGTATCCCACAGATGTATCAAACTACATCTCTTATCCCCTCCTATATGGCCAGGAAGGAAGAGTATTTGTTTGTTTGTTTATTAACATTTACAGACAGACCCAGTTTGCACTTCTCTGTTGCAGCCCCACACATCTGAAGATGCAATGCGATGCCAAACAAGTGCTAATGTTAACTACTTGCTCACTTGCCTCTCAGTCCCTGAAGAATTCAGGTGTTGCCAAAAGTGCACGTCTGAATCCGTAACTCTACGAGACCCTCCGGAAACCTCCAGAGTCCTGGCAGCTGTAGACAAAGCTACTTAGCCACCTGAAGGTGTCTTTCGCGGGAGCAAGAAGCGAAAAGCGAAAGTAACGCCGAACCCACGTTGGGCAAGCAATCGACTCCCAAGTCCTCCCACTTGCAAACGTTTTCCGCTTTGCGCCTTTTTGTCTTCTCCATCTTTTTCTGTCGAAGTTCAGCCTTCCGTTTCTGCGGAAGAAGCGCGATGGCGAAGAATGTCCGCTGCTACCTCCGAGAAGCCTTGGAGGACTTGACGGAGGACGAGCTCCGAAAGTTCAAGGCGAACCTCAACGAATTCCAGGTCAGGCCGGGCTACAACAATGTCCCCAAAGGGCGGCTGCAGAAGGCGGACGCGTTGGATCTGAGCGACCTCCTGATCAGTTACTACGGCGAGGATTACGCCCTGGAGGTGACGGCCGCCGTGCTGTCAGACAGCAACTGCAAGCCGCAAGCGCGGAAGCTTCTCAAAGCCACTGAGAAAGGTAGCTCATGGGATGGGCGATTTCTGCAGCGGAAAAGGGAACAGGGCTGACCCAGGTTCTTCTCTAACCTAGTAATCCCCAGATGTGTTGGATCTTAGTTCCCAGCCCAAGCTCTTTTGGGGAGATGAAGTTCGGTGCACCTGGAGAACCACAGCTGTGGGGAGGTTGAGCCAGTTCATGTCCTTACCTGACCAGCCAATGAGGAGAAAAACCTTTCAAGTTGCACAGAAATTCTTCATTAGAATTTTGATTTATCTTTCCAAAAGTTGGTTATGAAATAGGTCTACTCCCTTTCTCATATTTTATAACATCCGTATGGAAACCAAACCCAATTTTATACATGGTTATCTACTGATTATTAAATCAGTACAACTATTTATATTTATTTACTTAGTTATTTAAAGCATGTTTATAATGCTTCTGATTTAAAAAAAAAAACTTGCACAGCCATAAATTTCAAACAATGAAAGCAGTAGGTTAAAACAACTCATAAAATAATACATTAAAAGGCCATATATAATATACAAAATGCAATAAATAGTAACAAAGAGTAAAAACAGCACTAAAAAGCTAAAAATATCAGAGCACCATTAACTTATTATTAAGAGGCCTGGAAGAAAAAAGTCTTTCTCTGATGCTACAAAAACAATAAAGACCACTTCAGGTGTTTCTTGCTGGCAGGAAGCTATATTAAAGGGAACTGCTTTCAGGTAGCCATTTACAATATCTCAGCATAGGAGGGTGTCCCATAGGGGGATGGGGTGCCCAGAGCTTTGAAGATTGTTATGACAGAGGTAGGAACAGAAAGGAAGATTAATTTTCTTCAGATACTGTAATCTCAAGCCATGAAGGGTTTTATAGTTTGATAGTACAAATTGAATTGTGTCTGAAAATAAATGGAGACCTAATGAAGATCATAATGAATTGGTGTGATGTGTTCATATAATCCAGCTCTAGTGACTATTTTTGCCCCAGAAATTGTGCTAACTGAAGTTTGCAAGCCAGCTTTGGGGCAGAGCCAGGTATAAATTACATTGCAGTGATTTAAACTATAAATTATCAGGACATAATTTAACAGAGCAAGATTATTCTTATCCAGGTAGGGCTGTAGCTGGTGTCTCAGTGCACCATCCTGAGCTGATGAAAGGTGCTTTGTGCCACAAAGGCCACCTGTGCATCTAATGTCAGACATGGTCCAGAAGCAATCCCAAGTTACAAATCTGTTATTTAAGGGGGAGTGCAACCCCATCCAGAACAGGTTGTACACCACTCATCTGGATACATAAATCATCCTGTAATAGCATCTGTCTTGTATAGTTTGAGATTAGTTTGTTGACCCTCCTCCAGCCCATTACAGCCCTGTACTGATTCAGCATTTCCAATGCCTCTTCTGGATCTGATGAAAAGAAGAGATAACACTTTATTCTAAAGTCCAGATCATCAATGGTTTCATGAGTGACAAAACTGAGACTTGTGAAACCCTCCAGCCATGAAATCAAACAGAAGTCTCTCAGCGCTGCTTGCTGGAGACAGACATCAAAAAATGGGCAGAACGACATCAAGGCTGTTTCACCCACACCTAACTTGGACAACCTTTCCAAAATACCCTGGTCAACAGTATTAAAAGGCACTGAGAGGTCCAGTAAATTCAACAGAGTTACATTCCTTTTGTCTCTCCCATCAAAGATCATTAAAGAGGATGACTAAGGCAGTTTCAGTGCCAAAACTAGAGCTAACCCTAAACCTAGATGTTGACCACTAATAATTGTTTGAATCGCCTACGTCCAATATTTTGTTTTCAGGGGTAGTCTCCTGGATCCATCTGAACTCCCCCTTCTACTAGTGATAAGCCATGAGAGGCAAGAATCAAGTAAATATCTGACTGGTCAAATTTGACTAAGCATCTTGTCCACATAATCCGGCCTTAAAAAGTAATCCCAAAAAAATCTGACCAGGCAGATCCCCTGAATACTTTACAGATTGAACTGCTGGAACTATAATATAAATAATGAAAAATTTAATTGATTCTGTTCTCAAAATGTTCTATATGCTCTCTAGAAGGTCCAGATCATCAAAGGGCTCAGACAACCCAGAAAAAAAACTCTGAAAATGTAAATCCCTCACTTTCAAACCACTGTCCTTTTGCCAAGCAGAAAAAAAAAACCTAAATCCAAAGTGTGATTTGATATGTGATGGGCCAGAAACAAGTTCAGACAGACTCATGGTTGTGATGACAGCCATGAAGTCCTAAGCAACCATAACCAAAGCAGTTCCAGGGATATTCGAGTCCCCCAGAATTAACTTCTAAGAGCCCTCAGTTCTGAGTCCAAAACCACTGTCAGTTCTGGTAGCAAGACTGTTGGACAGAATAGTGGTGGTACATCAGCAAAATCCCAAGTGTCTAATCCCAAGAGTACCCAATACAAGTTATAAATGGAAATTCCTGTCTTGAATGGACAAGAAGCCTAGAGAGAGACAGAGAGAGAGAAGAAAGAGAGAAGATAATTCCTGAAGACTATAGTAACTTCACCTGCACAACCTCTCTGATGTTGTACTGAATATTGGGGGTGGGAGTAGAGCTTCCCAGCTCATTTTCCTTTTTAGTTGTGCTGTTGATTAAATATTTTAACCTGTACAAGTTACATACAAAAAGCAATCTTATCCATACATTCTCTGTTCCATATCTAAAAGCTGCTGTTTCATTCCATCTTAATGCTTTAAATAATTTAGTAATATTATTTTGTAATAATTGTTTTTAATAATATATAAATTTTACATTATAAAACAATGTATGGTAATTTTGTTTCTTCTACATAATGTTATTTTTCTTTAGTTACATTTTCTTCCTTTGTTCTCTTCCATTTTCTTAAGGAATCTAAAAAAACATGAGATAGGCCAGGCTGAGAAATAACTATCTGAAAATCACCCAGTAACTATCTAAAAATCACCCAGAAACAGTAGACTTGGGTTTCCATGATGCTAGACCAAAACTTTAATTACTGTGCCATAGAAGAATGTTAAAATCTTTCCACCTATCCCATTCAACTTGGTCAGGTTAGGAGAAACTTTGTGCTTATTTTATTTTATTTATTTATTTGTCTAAAACATTTGTATCGCTGTCCAGCTCAACCAAGGTGATTCTGGGTGGCTTACAGCAAATTCAACAAAATCTGATGAACAGAATACAAAACCACAGTGCAGAAACTGATAAACAATAATGAAACAATAAAGCAAAAATGTCGATCCAAACAGAAATAATGCCATCATCCAATCAGGATTCCAACACATCATGACCCAAAAGCCCAGGGGAAGAGCCAGGCCCCATGATGATCTCTCCCAGCTGCTTCATGTATATGTTAAAGGGGAGAGGGGAGAGCCCTGAGCACCCTACAATGCAGGGGCTAGACCATCTACGGTTAAACCTTTCCACCACACCAACACCTATTGGAACGAATATGAGGAAGGAGAACCACTGCAAAACGGTGCCCCTCCTCTCCCAATCGCTTAAGTCCACAAGAATACCATGGTCAATGGTATCAAAGGCAGCTGAGAGATTAAGGAGGGCCAGAATGAATGCACTACCCCCATCCCAAGCCCATCAAAGGTCATCCAATAATGTGACCAAAGCTATCTTAGTACTACAAGCCAGCCTAAAGCCTCAATGAAAGGGGTATAGATAATCCACTTCCTCAAGGATCCCCTGGAACTGTAGGGTGATCATCTTCTCAATAACCTTCCCTAAAAAGGAAAGATTGGAAACTGGTTGAAAGCTGACCAGATCAGTAGGATCCAGCAAGGGTTTCTTGCAGAAGGGATGGACCACTGCCTCTTTAAGAGCTGGTGAAACAACCCCCTCTCTCAAGGAAGCAGAAACCACTGCATGGATCCATCTACATGCCCCCTCCCTGGAGACTTTAACCAACCAGGAGCAGCATGGATGTAAAATACAAGTAGATGCACCCACAGCACCAGGGACCTGTCTACTTCCTATGGACTAACAGGCTCAAACTCCTCCCAGATAACATTGGAAAACTGTGTCATCATCTCCAATGAACTTGCCCAGCTGGAGTCAAAGTCAGAGTGAATCTGAACAATTTTTATCCACCAGGTCTCAAGAACTATCCTCACACCAACCCTTCAGATGCTCCCAGGTCCCTCCTGACATAGAAGAGATCAGATTGCCTTGAACAGAGCCACTGGCCGACACCCCGAGGACATAATAAGAGCAGAGAAATAAGCATGTTTTGCTGCCCTTAACACTGCAACAATAAAGGCTGTTACTGTACCTGTATTTGGTCAGATTCACTCATTTTCATCCAGCAACACCCTAGGCATTGCTTCATCCTCTGGAGGCCCTCCAAAAACCAGGGAGCACAGCAGAGATCCAATCTAAAGCTGTCACCACAGCTTCATTCTAGGTGGAGACCAAGGACTGAATCAAACTGTGTACCAGAGCCTCAGGTATAATCTCAAGCTAAAACCCAATAGGGTCCATCAGGCTGATCAAATAGCTCCAGCCTCCTTGTGGAATTCACTTGCTGCCACCTTCTTCCATAACTTTTCCAGCTTCTCTTCTTGAGCTGATCTATGCACATGTAATCTTTTAGAGAATATCAGATAAAATTCTGTGTATTGTCCATTTATTGCTGATTTTGCATGGTAACCTCTTTTTTTTTCTTCCAGGTGCTTGCAGTTTTGTTCAGAGTCCCATGCCCCATTTCAGCACCCACTCAAGAAAAGCTGGTGAGTTCCTTAACATCTCCATCAGTAGTCAGGAATCAGCCTGCATGATTGTTTACTTGCCACATGTATCTTAGAACAAATTTAAGTGAAACTTCAGTTTCATGCCAATCTGATCTTCCTAAAACTCCAAGAAATTGTAGGTAGATGACACAGAACCCTAGTAAAGACAGCCTATTTGCATATATAGACAATATCCAACAAAGTGCTCAGCTATTTTCTCTTCAGGAGCCAATCTGGGAAATCCATCTCTTCATGTTTGTTGAAGTAGAAGCCAGATGTGAAAAGTGCTGACTGTGTGGCTCATTTTATTTCATAAGGACTTTTTTTCACCTTTCAGCTTTCACTTCATACCTTGGATTCAATTTTTTCAAAGTTCTTTGTATAGAATGGTATAAGCTTGACTTGGCAACATTGAGCCTACTCAGCCAAGGTATTTGTTGTCCCCCAAAGCAGTATTATTAGAACCCCACAATTAAATAAAAGTTATTTTTATTTGAAAATAACGTTTTTATTTGAAACTTCTTTCAAAGTTCTTTGTATAGAATGGTATAAGCTTGGCTTGGCAATATTGAGCCTACTACAACCAAGGTGTTTGTTGTTCCCAAAGCAGTATTATTAGAACCCCACAATTAAATAAAAGTTATTTTTATTTGAAAAATTAAATGGTTGTAACCTGATGATTTATGCAAGCCTTTGTATAATCTCCCCTAGAGACTGAGAAGACTATTGGCTCCTAATGTAGCATGCATTCATTTTTAACAAATGTTCTCCTGATTGTCAAGCTGTGCCTTGAATTGTGGAAAAAAAGGAAGCCATCAGAATATTGCAGAGAGGAACAATATATTTCACAGCATTCTTATCATTATCATCTACAGCATATGTGGATTTTACTCCAAGATAAAGGAAATTATACAAAGAATCTTGATTTCAGTTAAGAATATATATCCTTAAAGAATCTTCTATCACACAACTACAATTCCAAGGCTTCCAGCGAAGAGAGGGTTCGTGCTGAACTAGTGTAAGTCTCTAGTATAAATTTATCCCTATTTCTTTCTTCTTTTTTTTTTTACAGAGGTGCAGCCCTCAGAAGTGCATTTTATTGAACGCCATCGGGAGGCACTCATTCAGAGAACAGCCACAGTGGAAGGAATTCTGGATCGGCTGCATGGAGTTGTCCTGAATGATGAGCAATATCAAAAAATCATCACAAAGAGAACAAACCAGGATAAAATGAGGGAGCTGTACAAGCTGCTGCCTAGCTGGAATCGTTATTGCAAGGATTTGCTCTATGAAGTTCTGAAGGAGAAAAACAAGTTCCTCATTGATGACCTTGAGGGACAGTGAGGCAATAGAAGTGAAATGCCATCTCAGGCCATGGAAAATCCAGCTCCATATATCACAGGAATCCCACAGAACTATATAGTATCTTCACATATATAGGCTATATTTACAGTTGACCTGGTTACTGAATTGTTCCATTTTTCTGAGTTCACATGGTATGTCCATAAACTATAAACTAACCAAACAGGCTAGGTACACTCAATATGCTATGTTACAGAAACATCTAAACAAATTTAGCATGATATGGGAATGTAGCTGCTAGATCTTTAAATGACCCAGTTAAGAATATTGTGTGAACAAAGCCAATGATAACCGTCACACATAATAACTTCACTCATTTTGCTCCATGCAAAGAAATGTGAAAATATTCCTTTGAGATTAAAAACCCAATAAGGGTAATTGCATTTGAGTGAAAGACCCTAGGACAAGATAGAACACAAATAATCATTACCCCCTTTAATAAAGATCATTATCCTTTTCCTCTCTATGGGCAGCACCTCCACAGCCTGAGCAGATAAGCTGTAGTGAGAGCCCCACTCAGCCTCCAATACTTTTTCAGAAAGTACTTTAAATTAATCTTGATGATTTTAAAAGTGGACAGGATAGATGGAGGAAGGAACCAACTTATGAATAAAAAGAATGAATGAGATTTTTTTAAATGTATGTTTTACTCTGAGCACTTCCACTTTACATAGATCACATTCACATTCCTCTTTGCCTTGCCTACACATAGCCCTTGATTACATTCCAAATCATAAACTGCCCTTTATCCAAATGTGTACATTTATGCAAAAATAACAAGTGTTGTCTAGATATTATGGACTGTAATTCCCACAATCCCTTGTAATTGGCCATGCTAGCTGGGGTAATGGGAGCCCACATCTGGAGCCCACCAAGCTACCTATCTCTTATAAAACAATTGGTTCTAGTCTGCACTGTGAGTCCAGAGGTAGGGAAGCTGTAGAGCAGTGTTTCTCAACTGAAGGAGACCTTAAGCTGTGTGGACTTCAACTCCCAGAATTCCCCAGCCAGCTTGGGGTTGAAGTCCACACATCTTAAAGCTGCTGAGGTTGAGAAACACTGCTGCAGAGAGTAAACAAGATGACCTTGATAGAGATATGCAGAAGCTGTTGCCTAGGCAAAGGGGCTAAAGTGCTTTTTAAGTCCAGAAATGTCCAGATAACATTCAGAAGCAGCTCAGACAGACACCTCCCTAATTCACTGAACTATAAGAAGGAAGAGGAGGTATAGCATAATCTAACTTGCAAGATTCTGTTATTATAGCCAATCTCAATAAAAGTACTTTTAGCCTTCCTGTGAGGTTGATTTCCTGGTCTGGTCTACCTAGTGGGGCTGACAAAAGCTCATGAAATAATTCTCCAACTGCCAAGATTCCAAACATTCCTTTTACTGAACTAGCACAAAAGCTAGTCCATATTATTCCTGATGTTGTCTGAGTGTCATATATAATATATATATATATATTTTTAAATCGAGGTAGTCTCAGTGCAAGGTTTTCATTCTAAAAGATGCACCATGAAAAGAAGAAAGGATAGAAAAAGGAAAACAAGCAAATTCAAATACCAGTTCTTAAAGTTACCAGTTCTTATATTTCAGAGGGGGGAGAAAAAACAAGGCAGCTTGTCACAGCTAGCCAATGTAGGGAAAAGCTTAGCCAAATGGCTGTGAGTCTCAGTGGAATAGTGGCCTTTTGATCCTGGTCTCCATGTTAACATTCCCATAGTTGCCTTTTATTATCAGACAATCTTGTCAAAATTCCCCAGATTTACATATAGAGGTATATTTTGTTTAATTATGAAATAAAGTATTTTCTAGTTATGTGCTACTTTGTTATTTAAAAAAAAACAATGAGACTGAAATAAGATTGCAAGCAAATGAATGTATGCCTTCTGGAACTTTTTAGTTAATACATATTCTGTTTTAATTTCCGGGTTTGAAATACACTCATAGGTAAATGATGGAATGGAGTGAGTTGGCACATCATCAGAATGTTATTATGGCCAAAGGCCAGCAAGAAAACAGATTACTAACTGATATGGGAAGCAATCTTCAAGATATGTCATCTGCCACATTCTTGAGGCTGGATAACAAAACTTGGTGACATTGTAAGTAATCTGAAAGTTATACACAAATGTATAAATGAAAGCAATACAAGACAAAGAATGTTCTAAGTAAAGTGCAATGCAAATTTGCCAATATTCTCCCAATGCAAGTATTTAAAGGAATCAGTTACAGAGGGTTGTGTTTTCACAGCAGCTACAACTAGTAAAAATTTAACCTTGTCCAAAATGTATTGTGTAAATGTTCATTTTGATATGTATGGCACTTTTATTTCCCAAGTTTCAATAAAATGCCAATAAGAAGACTTGAGATGAGACTTCTGATGAATAGCAGATGTATTTTGAT